GTACTAATGGACAGTAATTCAGTACTAAATACTAAAGCAGTTCAGCACATTACGAAAAATAAAAACAGCACATTACTAATAATAGTTTAAATGAATACATACAAGTTACAAATCACTAATGTAATGAATAATTAAATTCATTTTTTTTTTTTTTTTTTCAATAACATGCTTAAAAAAGTCCTAACGTTCAACCAAATATGCGCTCGAAATAAAAATAATCTTTAGTTACAAACAATAGATTACATAAGTTGACAATAGATGAGCTCTGATTAATTATGTAACTAACTATCATTAGTATACAAAACAACAATACAGGCTACTGCTGAAAGGAAAAGGTTAGTATTTGTACTTCTTTTCATAATTTTTATTTCATTAATCATTTTAAGTTTTTACCTAACGGTCGTAAAATATTACGGACTCTGCAAGCCTTTTGTTCTCCAAATAAATCTATGGCATCGTCATAATTAACTTGATGTGCTGTTTGATTTTCGATTGCTAGAATTGATAAACGCTCCAGGCTCATCGATGATCGCAGATAGTTTTTAATAAGTTTTAATTTGCTGCTCACAGTTTGCGGATGTAATCGGAAGCATAGAGTAAATCTGCAGGGTGATACAAATATTGTAAAAGGCAATCCTGAAAATCATAGGTGTAGATCTGTTGCAAAAGACAAAAAGCTTTAGCCTTTTTTATGTCGACGAATTACATTGGGGCTTGTTCTAAAAAACGCCAAGTTCCTGGCAGAACTGAAATGCCTTTAGCTCATATTTTCGTGCAAGTTCTGATCCCTTCTTTTGCAATCCTTCAGTTGACATATTCAATATTTCACTAGCATTGAAAAATGCGAAATTTTAATTTAGTGTATTAGTGCTGTTTATCCTCGTCTTAATTTCTGATAAGATTCAATCAAATACAATTTCCATTGCATTAGAAAATAGGTGAATATGAAGTGTTCGTGATTCGTCCTTACACAATTCATTAAACTGCTTTTTGCACCTTAGAATTCGTTTATTTTGTCAGAATAGATTCAAACTCAATTTTTTCGGCTTCTGCCTTAGATTCTTCTGTCCAATATTCCATAGGCATTTCTCTCATTTTTTGCAAAGTTTTAGTTGGACCTTCCATTAATCTGACGGAACACGCAAGAGTAATATCTTCCTTTTGAATTTCAATATTTATTTGATTGGTTTGTGGAAGAATATTATTCCAAACTGTCAGGTTGATAATAAATTCAAAAATTTTTACAACATGTAGCAGATGTCCTGCTTCGTACTTTGATTCCGCACTAAGAGAAAAAAGATATTTAATTTATTTCATGGATTTTACTTCTTCTGGTAAAATTCATTAGAAGGGCTTTCACAGTCATATATTTTGCCCACTATCTCGTCCGACTGTTTTCTTTTAAGTTGGTTTTTGACAAATCCGACAAAAAAGCTAAATATCTTCTGGATAATTCCAAATAGGTTAACTGCTTCGGTGCAAGATGAGGCAGAATGCACACCGACAAGATTCAAAGAGTGAGCCAAACATTGCACATTCGGCCAACTTATTCACTTCTGTAATCCTGGCTTGTATTCCTTTATAAGTACCGGCCATATTAGATCCGTTAGCGTTAGATTGACTACGACGTTGTCCAGAATTCAAATAATCAAGTGTCAACTTTTTCACAATCCACTGAAAAATACATTCTCCTGGTCTTTCCATAAACTTCTATGAAATCAATAAAGCTCTCCTTTATTTCACACACATCACCACATATTTTTTACGTATCGAAGCACCTGGCTCATTTGATCTGTATGCTACACATCCGGAATGCAATCGAACATTATTGTATAATATTTGGCTTCTTTAATATGATTTAAAATGCTCTTGCGAACTGTTTTCGCCATTATATCAGTAATTTCATTTTGAACTATGTTTGCTAAATATGATACTTGTCCCTTTTTTAGGTGTTCTAACTGGTACTTAATAGTTGAGTTATATTCGGCTAGCAAAATCATTATATATTATAGAAGTTCAAAAAATTGCATTGACTAGGCCAGGGACACTTTGTGAGCAGACTGCTAGGTGTTTCATCAGACCCACAGAAAGAAAGACAATTTTTTGAAAGATACAATACAGCATCCATGATTATCTGTAAGATCTCTCTCCATTTTTCTTTCTGTGTGTGAATTAGTCGCTTAATGTCACGATCGATGTCATGACACGATTTCACTTGTTGTAATCGAATTTTTCACTTTATCATGCATTCTATGTGGATTTCAGATGTTTCGTGCTCAGTTAACCTTTCTGAAGCTTTTTGCCAATAAATGAATCCCGTAGTACAGAATGCTGATGTAGCGGCAGTGGCATGTTTCTCGTAAATCTCACAGGGTGTACAGAAATTGCATTTTTAGTTTTAGAGTATATAAGGCAAAATCTTTTAATCTTTTCATTATTTTCTATTGTTATGTGCCACAATGAAGATGTCAAATGTCTTGCATCATGTTCAGTGGACCTAAGGTCTACATTTTTTGGATGTTTTTCGGATAATAATACAGCTTGACTACTGAAGAAAGATCGTTGCCGAATCATTCATTTTTTCTGTGATTGGCCAACTACCTGGGTCCGACAAGTGAAAAGTTTTTAAGTCTTCTTTCTGCTGCCCACACGCACCTAAATGAGAAAATATTTTATATCCATGTTTCATGTTCTCTAGATGTTCGCTTGAGGTCGATGAAGAAGGTTGTTCTCTCAATTGCTGTAATGTAGTGTGTTTGAGAATGATAGATGGAAAGTCTTCATCTTGGTCATGCAAATTGTAAGAATATCAATATGCTTTAGAATCTCGGCACCATTAGAAGTTGTGGCAGGGTCTGACGGTTCGTCTTTTCCGTGAAGCCATTTTTGCATTTTAGCTGCAATTTGTTTTCTCTGTTCGGCCTTATCTTTTGCTGTTTTTCTAAATTCTGCCCCTGAGAGTTTTTTCTAGATGCTCTCATGGTTTCTTTTACCTTAAATATATACAATATAAGTATAACTTGCCTTAATAAGCAAAGCTAAAAATTGACGTAATTACACTCAACAGTCTTGCACGCGCTAATGAAATGATTGTGTCTCGGGGGGGGGGGGAACCTCCAAATTTAAAAACTAATAAAATAATAATTCCATTTTAAAAACCTAAATTGCCAACTGGCTGCAAAAAAAATCAAAATGCCTTACTTCATTTCCGTTGTATATTCTCGACGTACATTAATTTGAATAATTTCATTTTCATTGGTCCAGATTGGGTATTGGGTGTTAGGGAAAAGTTACAATTTACAATGCTTCATCATTTATTTCCCAAGAGGCGTTGGTATGAAAACAAGGCAGAGGGACAGAGTCGTCTGACCTTGTCAGTGACGCAGTGTTTTGAGTCCGTCTATTGTCCTCTCTCTGATCTTATCTTTAGAGTCGTATTCGGCTGTACTTAGCTTACTTTTAATTGTTTGTTCTATTAAAAGGTTTCCGAGTAATTAATTATAAATATTCTTAAAAAAGGTTTTAAACCTGACTTTAAAACTACTAATTGTTGCACGTGACTAATTGTTGCACGTGGTTGCGGCTGTGTGCAACAACAAACTATGCGTATTGGAATTTGCCAGTGCTTTTAAGGGTGAATTCATAACATGCCATAAGAGCCAATTTTTGATAACAAAAACATTTAATCACATCACAATATTAAAACTTAATTACTACAGTCGATAGACATCACGTTGGAGGAAACGAGCGACCAACCGCACCGACGACGAGACGTGACTGTGTGTCGCCGAAACCACCTTCAGTTACAGTTAGTGATAACGGCGCACGGTTGGCGAGTACAACACATGTTTACAGAGACGCCACACTAATGTTGTATCAAAATTTGACATCATTCCAAATACGATCCAGCACCACGCTTGAATTTGCCGCCCGGGGCACAGACCCCGGCTTGCCACTCCCCATATCCGGGGCTGAATACAATATGCAAGCATGTCTAGATAGGTGCATTTTCTGCCACTTTCTCTACATTCCATTTTTAATCAGACTGCATAGTTGCCAAAATGTCAACATTGCTAAACATTTATAGTACTTATGATCTATTTGCATTAACGTTTTTCTGCCTTCATGTATTTTGCCATATTCAAACAAAAATTAAAATTTATGAAAAAAATACCTTTCTGTTCCTTTAAATAATCCTTCAACAGAATTCCAAATAACTAATGTGTTTACTCAGAAATACCAAGAATTTTACTAAGAAATGGTGGTACTTAAAAAGACTGAATCTGTAAAATGAATATGATGCAACTATGCAACTTGCATGTAAGTTCTTTACAGACCTTGCATGTAAAGAACTAAATGAAATACATGTATTCAATAGTTGCAATAAAAAAAAGTAATTGAACTATTGAAGTCTGTGACGTGCAAGCAGCTTATATATATTATTTTTATTTTTTTGTAATTTTAAGTCATTTTTAATAAAATATTCTGTTACCTTTGTCTATCCTTATGGTATGTAAATCTAGAATATCTAAGTAACAAAATTAGAAAATGGATGCTGTGATGAATTTGGTGATATCTAATAGGTTGAAATGATATGAAATCATCATCAAGATCAGCAGAAATTTTCAAATCTGCTTGTGTGTGTGTGTGTGTGTGTGATTATGGGAAAGCCTCGAGGGCTATCTGCCTAAGGGGAGGGATGCCTTTGTGGAGGACTTTCTAAGGGAAACTGGCTTGTATACACGTTACACATGGGGAAAACACCCATGCAGCCAGCCCGTTCGCGGCATTCGAACCTCGGACCGAACTACCAGTGTTCATCGACTTTACCGCTCGGCCGCTGGTGGGCCCCCTTTCAAATCTGCTTGAAACTGACAAAGACCTTGCGTGTTTATTACTAAGAGTGAAATTTCAGTCCCTTTATCCTAAATTAGCACACATGTACAAGGGAAGTTTTTATTATTTAACATGCTGAAGTTTTTGATTAATTTGTTTTGCAGTTATGATGAAAATGTCTTTCTTTGGGATACAAGATCCATGAAGTCTCCACTTTCTGAAGTTTGTCTTAATGGTGGTATTTGGAGATTGAAATGGCATCCATATGAATCTGAATTCTTATTATCAGCTTCAATGCATAATGGATTCCATGTTCTTTCTACTAAAAGTAAGTACATATAAGAAAAGTGTTATGCATATCAGTAAATAAATTTACAGATTTTAACTCTCACTCTGCGTATCCCGCAATTTCCACGGGCAACGTAAAAGTGGCAAAGTTTGAGCAACCTGCGATTTCCATGGGGATGCATTTTTTCTGTCTATTTAACTGTGCAACCTGCTGTTTTCCTGTTAATGGTTTCATTTCAGCTTTTCTGTGATGTTTAATTGTTTATTCCAGTGTGGGTTAACAGAAGGCATTAGTGGTCCATGTTTCTGCGAAATATACAAGCATGTTTTGCACCATTTTTCATGTTCTTTTTAAAGCTCAAAGATGTCTGTAGTTCAACATTCAATCCCACGTGACTCGACATTTTGCTAGCCATATACCCCCAAATGCCATCAAGAAAAAGCCTCGTAGACAGTTTGATTTTTATTGGAAAAAAAAAAAAAAACTAACACTAGCAGGAAAATTCTCAAACTCAAATTTGGTGCAAAGATTGCATGGTAGAACTTTGCCTCGAGCCTTCTTTCGAAGTTTATCATACTAAACTTCATTTCTTATAAATGTTTAGTAAGTATTTTGCATATTCTCATTAGTATATATGTATATATGTATTTCATAAAATAAATCGTAATTTAACCAAGATTAATTTACAAAATTTTTCTTTTATGTGATTATTCTTCAATTTCTATTTTCCATCAACCTTTACTTATGATCTAATTCAATATTGAAAGAAAAAAAAATTTACAAAACATTTTTGTGTACTTTAAAATTTAAAACTCTTTTGAACTTATTTTGATAAAAGAAATTGAAAAGATTGAGTAAATCTAATTTTTAATTTTAGATAAAGGGGAAAATAATGTTCTTGTACCTTTTAATACCACTCCAGGTTAATAAGACTAGAAGATGTGAAAAGCAAAACGTTTACCAAAATTGAATCATCCAGGAGAAGGGGGTACAATTTCTAATTGATTTTCTCCATCCTTACTGCATGCCTTTGTGGTGTAAATGGATAGCAAGCATATCCTGTTAGCATTGGGAGGTCCAGTGTTTGACTCCTGGCAAGAGTATTGCAAATTTTTCATGTTCCTGCATCGATATATATGAAAAACCTAATGACTCTACAAATTGTTTTCCATGAAAAAGAGTATAGGCAGTTATATCACATTATATTAATGTATTAGATTTTGTAAATTATTCATAAATTCCAAGAAATGTGAAATTTATTTGAAGGCTCATTCAGAGCAAAAACTCTGAAAAGACCTCTCGCTATTGCTGTAAATAAAATATAGTGTGATATAAATAAAATTAGTGTGATTATTTTAAATAAAATTATTGTTGCTTGTGCTCACTAGTCTGACCTATAGTCAGCCCAAGCACACGAAAATCTTGGTGGCAAGGAGCACAAGTTTATGCCTGTAGTTGGCAACAGCCTTGAGTACCATGCAGGGGACAGTGTGATTTAGCTCAGTCCCCCCCCCTCAATTTTGATGGACAGCACGCTGGGGGATGGGCCTGAGGGTCTCCCACTTCTCTTTCCCTCCCACCAGTCTCTCGAGAGGACTTTCAGCTCGTCGCATATTTAGTGTGCCCCCATGCCACACGGACACTATGTATTTGCAAACATTGATGCCTTCTCTGGGATTCGAACCTGGGCGCATATAAGCAAAATGTGCATTCCTAGGACAACAGCTTGAATTTGGCCAATGACAGTCCTGATGGAGGATCACCATTAACTTCGCCCACTTGAATGATGTCACATTTCTGACGTTTGTTTACACTCTGCTGTTCGATGTTATGAAGTGCGTTTTTTCAATGTACATTTAGTTTTTCGGAATGAAAGTGTTTATATATACATGTATATATCTGTATATAATGATTTAATGTTTGTTTCAGAATATTAAGGTTCCAATACAAAATTTGATCTACTTTTCCAATACAAAATTAGATCTAGTCAGATGGAAGTTACTGATGACTGGAAGATGCATGTAAAGTGTGATTTACAAACTATTCTGATAGATAATCAGAAACTTAAGTGATGAAAAGTAAAATCATCTAATATATAAAATGTACTTGCAGGAATTAAACCAAGTAAAATTTTCTTTTCTTGGTTAAAAATGCTAATTTGTGTTAGTAATTAATTCAGTTAAATATTTTGATTCAAAATGCCAACAGTTGCCATTGCAATAAAATAACTTATTTTAATAAAAGAATAAGTGTGTAAGAATGATATGTGTCAGGAAATCCTTATAACAAATTTCATATATATCTGTGTGAATATTTAAAGCATTATTAACTGTGATCTGATTTCTTTTTTTGGATTCAATATGCATTCTTATAAAAAAAAAACTTCATTTTATTGTTAGAACATAAAGAGTATAAAGATGAAAAGTGTGTCCATTGTAATGAACATATTGAAATGTAATTTAGCTGCGAAATTACTGAAGTTAAATGATGCAAAAGTTATTTTAATAAGAACTGAATGTATTTAAGACATGCTACCAGCACTGATGTTTAAAGACTACATATTATAAAATTTTAAGAACTCCAAACTATTCATTTTAAAATTTTTAACGTGTTGCTTTCTCATCACACAAAAAAATTAACTAAAATGTAAACTTGTAACATTGAAAAATTTCTTTCTTAAGCAAAATTATTTTCACTACATAATTTCAGCACAAACTAAATATTACAGTACATAAAAGAATATAGTGTACTGCCAGTAAAATTAATGGTCCTTAAATATTAACACAACCATTTTATATTTAAGGACCATTTTTTTTTTTTTTTTTTTTTTTTTTTCGCCTCAGTTTAAATTTAATACATGAAAAGGTAAAAGTGACTTATTGGGTGCAAGTTGATGGTTTTCACAACTTTTCTTAAACAAAAACCCAAATTATTGATATTTATCATAAATTGGCTAACATTATGAAATTGTGAAAAAAAAGCATACTTTAGCATTTAAAATACAAATGCATGTATTTTCACTGTAGTTTGTTCCATTGTTGACAAATTCCAAAGCACATATTTTAAAATTAAAGCTAAAAATTGTTTTAATTTGGAATGCAACACAAAGAATATGTAGTTTTCTATGTGAATTTTTACTTTTACGAATACATAATTTTTACTTGTAATCAAAATCTGAATATGCTAATTATTTATTTGCCCTCTTATCTAATTTTTATAAATTAGCCACTATTTATTTTACATCGTCAGTAATCTTCAGACTAATTTTAAATTTAGTTTCAGTGTGAATTTCTTTTGTTCTCTGCTTTTTTCTGTTTAAATTGACATCATGTAAAGCAACATCAAAAATAAAACTATTAAAAAAATATATGTAAAGCAAACAAATGAAAGAGACAGATATGAACGTTTATCAGTTCTCAGTTTCATCTACATTCTGTACAATAATAAACCTAATTTAATGAATAGGTGGGACTAATGAAAAGTACAACTTTACATACAGGATCTGTCAGAAAAAAACACAGACTTTAACAGATGATATCTATATATTGGTTTCAAAGTTGAATATCTTTAAAATATGCAGTATGGCATTTCCTTAACATGTCGGCTCTCTCACATATATGTGACACATCACAGTGAACCAGATTGGATTTGGGGAACTTTGAGGGATGTTGTGTAGTATTGGAAATCGGTTAGGCTTGAGATCTTTCATCAAAAAATTATGGCATAATGTGCAGCATTCCCCTCAGACATATCAACTAACATTGTTCAAATAACTGCTCAGTATTGTGCTATGTGTCTAGCTGCTAATGGCTACTGCTGTAACGCTTTGAACAATCTAAATAACTGTACAGGTACATATTTAAAAGGTTGGTATTAAACCTAGCCTAACTTCTGATATGTATGATTTGATTAACTTATAATTATGTTCAATATTAAATCAAAAGAATTTTCTTTTATTAGTTAAAGTGTGTGCCAGATCACCAGATTTAAGCGGTAAAGCCACTGAACACTAGCAGTTCAGTCTGGGGTTCAAATCCCTGCCGAATGTGCTGACTGCATGGCGCTTTCATGATTTTCCTCAAGTGTAAAGTGTATAAGAGCGGTTTTCTTGTAGTGTGTAGTGTAAAGTGTAAAGTGTATAAGAGCCAGTTTCCATTTAAAAGTCCTCCACAAAAGCATTCCTAATGTTAAGCAAATAGCATTCAAGTGCTTTGCCATAATTAAATAAACCAAACCAAGGGTCAGAAATAAATTTTTTAGTAGAAATGTATGTGATAAAAAATTTAGTTTTCACACATGTCAGTATAAAACAGGGTACTTATGTATTATACCATTGATTGTTTGTGGAAATTTTGGCAGTGGTCACCAAGGGCCAAAGAGTACAGTCATCCATAATTGGCATTAAATTGTGCTACTTGTCGGGTCAACGGGATAATACGTAAGAGCCTAAAACAGTACTAAAATTAATACAGTGCATTTATGTGGATGCCTACCCTGTATTTAGCACACATTTCTAATTAGCATCTGTGTTCTCCAAAGCTTGTAGCCTTTTATGATTTGAGCAAAGGTGTTACTTCCTGTTTCCTTAAGTCAGGGATGTTTATTCCATAATATGTGAAGAAAACATATATTTATTTTCTCATGTGTCTAATATTTTTCAGTATTATACTCAAATATAGGACTTCATGTTATATTTAAAATTTATATATAAATATATATCAATATAGCAGAGCCTGATCTTTACATACCACCTCCCAAAAAAATCATATAGCAGGAAACTAAATTTGAGATCACATTACATGCATGGCATTGAAATTTATATAATTTTAATTTCAGCTTCAACATTATTCATTTCCTAGATCAAATCCTAACATGGACTATTTAGACTGATATGTTATGTCCAGCGGTAAATCGCTGAATACAGGTAGTTCAGTCTGAAGTTCGAATGCCGCGAACAGACTGGCTGCATGGGCGTTTTCGTGGTTTTCCCCATGTGTAACGTGTATACAAGCCAGTTTCCCTCAGAAAGTCTTCCACGAGGGCATCCCTATCATTAGGCAGATAGCCCTCAAGTCTCTGCCATAATCACATTAAACCAAACCAAACCAAACCAAACCCTGCAAAAAATGCCAGGAACATATTATCATAACACAGTAAACCTTTTCTTTGTGATCACCTCTGAATCTGACTACTTCTCCTCAATATACAAACAAATTTGGGTACTGAACATCTCCTCTTGAAGATGATAAGCTCTACACAAAATTAAAATCATGTAGAACTGCAGGTGTTAGTCTTAGAGAGGGTTCACTGTATTTATGAAATTAATTAACAAAATCTGGTACTAAATGTTTCTGTAAGCATAATTAATAATAACTTTCGAGTTTGATTGTGTATGATGAAAATTTATTGCATTAATGAATGTCATTTGCTTGATAGAAATGAAGCATTTTATTGAGGAGCTGTTTGTATGAAGGTTGGTTTGGTTTGGTTTATTTGATAATGGAAAACATGCAAGGTCCATGTGGGAGGGATGTCTTCGTGGAGGATTTTCTAAGGAAAAAAAAGCTATCTCATATCCATGTCACACATGTGGAAAACCAGGTAAATGCTCATACAGCCAGCCTGTCCACCTGGAATCAAACTCAGATTGAACTATCAGCATTCCAGTGACTTTATCACTCAGCCACTGTTGGGTTGTATATTGAGGGCCATGAAGGAGAATAGTAACATGCACTTAAAATTGAATTCTAAACTAAATATATAAAGAAAGCAATGGATATTCATTTATCAACACCAGTTTTTAGTAAATTAAAATACTGTATAAAATAAATTTATAATATTAATATTATTTATTGAATGAAAATTTTCCGTAAGAATGTGTAAGGAGTAATAGATTAAGAATTATTTTCTAATATTATTAAGTAATTTTCTTTTAAAGAAATTAAAAACAAAAAAAACTTCTTTAAACAAATTATTCTATTATTAAAAATTGTATACTGCTGGAATTGACATCCCACTTTATCCAAAATTAAATAAATGCATTATTAGGTGATAAATCAAGTTCTGCAGAAATATTAAATATGAATACACTCATCTCAATTATTTAAAAAACTGAAACTTAAGATGCGAAAAATTAAGAGAAAAAGCTTTCTAGATTTGCTAGATATCTGACATCCTGAAAAATGAACCAAAAGGAGAAATATATATATATATCACACACTCAAACATATATATATATATATGGATGCACACACATATATTGATATAATTTATATGATTATATATTGGAAATATATGTAAAATTATTTACGTGTTTTCCCTAAGGCACTACATGGAGGGGTGGATGCCTTCATGGAGGACTTTCTAAAGGAAACTGGCTCGTCTTAAAATCGGAACGAACTACAAGTGTTCAGGGACTTTACCGCTCGGCTGCTGGAAGGCCTTCTGACTTCCATTAGTCATTCTTTTCGTAGTCGTCTTCTCTGTCAAAAGGACACCTCTCATTTCACATACTGACAGGTCTAGTGTGAACATAATAAGCAGCAAAATTATTTAAATATGAATTAATTTATTTTATTACTTTACTGCAATCACGGTTCTTCAACACATAAAAGGCATTTCAAAGGTTCATTCAAATGGCTTCCAGAAATTGAACTAAAATCTATAAAAAAAATAATATAAGCTTTTATTTTAAACTTATAAAATAATTAATGAACTTAAGGAAGAAAAATAATTTATCACATAGTTTAATGGAAGAAACAGCTTAAGTAATTTTCTTTACTAAATTCACTTATGAGTTTATAACACGAATAATAAAATCATGAAGCACCTTTTATAAACTTGCTCACTTTGCATATGAAAATGTTAATGAAGATGAAAAATTTATGAATATTAAAAATAGTTGCACTAGTATTTTTAGGCAAAATACTGTGTTTTTGAAACAGTATTTCTTTACATAAACTTTTAGAGAAAAATGTTTGCCTGCCTGATCTTTTATTTTTTCGAAGGAATAAAATGACGAGTATAGTTATCATGAGTATACTTAAGCCAGACTTAAAAATTTTGTATTCGATCATGAAAATATTTTATAGATATGCTTGAGCTAATTCTTGTTCATATACCTAAAAATAAAATAAAGTAAAAGAAAAATTATGTATAAGCTTTCATTTTAAATTCATAAAATAATTAATTCTCTAAAGGAAGAAAAACAATTAATCATGTAGTTTCAAATGGAACAAGAAATTAATAATTTCCTTTTATAAAAGTTATCTACAATCACGACTATGAATACATGGGACACTCTTCATAAATTTATAAAAGACAATGGCTCTTGACTATCTGATTCGTTTATTCGATTTCGTTATTTAGGCTCCTACGCTTTTATTATTTGTGATATAAAACAAAACGTAGAAGAATTTTGCAAAGAAAATGATTAATCTCTTGTTCCCATCAAATTATTGCTAAATTATTTTTTGCCTTTTAGTTAGTTTATTAATGATTTTATGAGCTTTAAATAAAAGCTTATTTTATAAAGCCTTTTTTTTTTTTTTTTATTCTTTTAAGTTTCAATAACAAGTTATCAATCAAATTATTCAAGTGATTTAAAAAAAAAAAAAAAACAGTGAATAATCACATATTTACTTTTATCACATGAAATGGTCAAAATAATCTAAAGATTTTGTAAAAAATAAATAAAATCAGAATTCAGAATTACATTAAAATAAACTTCATTTAAATGATTTTATTCCGCTCTCTCCGATGTTGAAAAAAGTAAACTTCTGGAAGTTTAAATTTATTTATTAAATGAAGATAAATGCAAAAAATTATTTCAACCTTTAAATTTTCAGCGAATTCACACCTTTTCTTATTATAATATGAAGAGACCAGAGATTTTCTTTTCTGAGTTATTCTAATGTTTATAATGAGATAAAAATGTTAATTATTTAGGAATAAAAAAAGGTTTTTTGTGGAGGAAGTGAGGCAAACTATACTGGCTAATTCTAAAGGAACTTATATTAAGTTACAAAAAGAATTGGTTATGTTCGGTAATAAATTAAGTTCTTAGCAAACAATTTAAATGAAACACTTATTTGTCCATTAGCGACCGACAGGATGTGAGCACTAGCAGTTTGATCCAGTATGTAACACTCATGTAATAGCCCATTTGGCGGACCTTTTAGATGGGCAACTACATGAGTGTTTTCTTTCTTTTTCTTTTTTTTTTTTCCGGGGGAGGGTGGCATGAGCATGAACCATTTCCTTTGGAAAGTTCATTACGCAACCACTTTTTTCCTTAGTTAACCTATCCAAACCGAAAAGCTAAGTAATTATTAGAAAATAAGCGTTCGTAGTTTATATGATTTTCGTTAGTTACTTTCGCTTACATTGATACGAATGTTCAAATCATTGCAATAAGCTGGGGAAAAAAAAAAAAAGCATTTTGATGCAAATTAATTAATAACTTTTATGTATGTTATTTGCATTGAATTTAATAATTCAAGAAAAATGAAAGATACAATAAGTTTTGCAGTCAAAAACTGTAATTGCACCTGCACACAGAGCTGCAGTTTTAATCCTGGATTCGAATACCATTGAATGGGCTTTTGTAATTTTCCGAATGCGTAACGTAAATACGGTCCAGTAGAAAGTTTTCTGTAATCGCATTCTTTCCTTAACCAGATAGCCTTCCTTTATTTTGCTGTATTGAATTAAACAAAGAAGCAGTCATAATAAAGAAATAATCATTTTATTGACAGGAGAAAATAGGAATTATGAAATCAGATTGATATCAATAGAACTTGCTCAGAAACGAAAAAGAAGCGTTAATATATCAGACAGTCAAGAATTGATTAATAAGAGACTTTTCAGAAAATAGTTTTTCATTGTAGAAGTAAGAGAACTGACAGCTGTTTTATTTTCACACATTTGGAGATAGGAAAAATCAAACGATATTTCTTTTGATTTTTCATTTTTTAACTATCGAAAAAATAGTATTAGATTTAGGTAATTTAAAGAAAAAAAAAAGGAAAAAGAAAAAAAAAAAAAAAAACAGCTTTTTAGCTTAGCAACACTTAAACATCCAAATGATATAAATGCTTCAAAAATTTCATCAGAAATATCTTACGTTAGTAACCAGTAGTTTCTGGGCGATAAGCTGCTTCAATTTTAAATCTTTTAGAAATAATTCACTCATACAGTTTAGTTTAATCTATCGGAATTCGGAAGCTGCGTTGAAATTTATCTTAGCTTTGCCAAATTACTCTTGCTTGTGGTGATAGAAGCTTAAACATATTTACGAATGTAAATTATTGTAAAATCTTAAATGTCAAGAAAAACCTTATCTCTATAAAACATAAATTAAGTAATCAAATAGTTTGAAATTGAAAAAAAAAAAAAATGATTAACGATTTTGCATCATTAGAGGCAAGAAAAATTAAATTATAAAAAATCAAAATTAGTGCAGTATTTTTTACATTAATTGCATTACTGTTTATATCATTTAAAGCAGTGGTGCCCAACTTTTGGCCTATCGCGAGCACATTTCCAAAACATCAGCATTTTTGTTAAATATATTTCCATTCTTATGTGAAACATCTTAAACATTCATTTCGGCAAATGGGTTTGAAATGAATAATAATATTAGTTGAACTTTATGGAAATCAGAGAAGCGGAGTTCAAAATTATTTTTCAGTACATTTAGGTTTTCCGAGTATTTCTCCGTTTCAATTGCCTTGTGGTTATTAATATGCCTTGATAAATTCTGAAAATGGGTGAAATTTTTTCTTTCATCTGATTTATTCACAAATTTAACTTTGTCTGAAAAGCAGTTACAGCCCCAGTCAATTGAAAAAGGGTTTTTTTCTTTCCCCTGGAGATCTTCGTTCAGTTTAGCTGTTATATTTGTGAGAAAATACAGATCGGATGTTATTATCGTTCAATTCTTTAAAACTTTCATTTCCGGGCTCCAAAAACTGCTTTATTGGCGAAAGAAGTTCTACAAATCGTTGAAGTACTTTTCCCCTGCTGAGCCATCTACACATCGGAATGAAGCAATAAGGTTTCATGTTCGCTATCAAGTTCATCAGTCAGCAATCAATTATTTTATAACGTCTTGCAAGATATCTCTGATGACTATAAATGCTTATCATATTTTAACAATTAAGAAATATAAATGAATGGTTATTTTTAAAATATTTTTTGTTCATAGTACCTAATGAGCAATGCAATGTTCATAGTACCTAGCGAGCACGTGCAAAACGATCGCCGTGCACAAGGTTGGGCACCGCCAATTTAAAAGCTTTAAATTATGACTTTTATCATATTTCTGAATATAATAGGCTACGATTCAAAATAAAATTATTGAATTAATTAAAATAATTACTTTTGATGAATATGATAGTATAAAAATGTAGTTAATTTGACTGTATTAGGGGCGCATATTTATCTCTTTGCCTCAGGTAAAAATATCTATGCGCGGCTGTGCTTACCTCGCAAATTTCGTTGTCCTTTTTCCATGCAATAGAATTACAATGCTAGTTAAAATGTTCTATTGTAAAAGTTTGAATTATCATTTCAGTTCTCAGTGGGTTTAAGGAATCTATTGGAATAAGACAGACTTTTAGCAGAAGATGTTTTGCTCTTTTTTAACTGATTATTCTATAGCTGCTTTAATATTTTCTCTTTTACATGCAAAATTTTCAGTAATATATGATGAATAGTAAATAGTAAAATATAAGTAGTATTAAAACAGTTTTTCTTCTCTCTGTAGATGATGAACTTTTCAAATAGTAACCTCTTATTCTAAACACAGTTCTCTTGCATATGGTGTGGACTGGTGTTATATATCTGAGATGTCTGCTATAACAGAAGAGGAACTGAAAATAGCAACGAAATTGAAGAGTACAAATATAAGGAATTTAATAGCTTCTTGCTCATTTTACGATAAGTTATTGCATGTGTGGGGAATACATTTGTAAATTATAGAAGAAAAAAAAAAATATGTATTGTTTAGTATGTAATTTCTTTCAACCAACTTCTTCAACTCATAAAAATCTACAAAAGTATCATATTTATACATTAACTCACATACAGGAGAACTCAGAAATAGCTGCAAAAAAGTAGAGGCAGGTAGAAAAGACTGAAATAAGAAGTTTATGTAATGGAATGCGTGCTCTGAAATGGCTGTTTGAGATGCTCATTGCGATGCAGCTGAGCAGTAAATAAAAGCATACTGGTGGTGTAAATCATCATTCTCTGTAAGAATGCAGTATGCATCACTGTATAAACAGTTTTATCTGCAGGAATGCAGATAAAACAGAGAAGGCACTTAGAGGAATCACAGAGAATGATTCCTCAGTGCCTCCTTTGAGCAGCTGCTTCATTTCCGTCCGTGGCTCCATAGAAAAATATTCCAGGTGCGTGCATAACTCCAGATGGAGAATGACAACTTAAACCAGCAGAACACTTTAATCTCCCGTTTTATCAGTGCTCTGCACCATCACAATGCGCCATTTCACCACAGACATTCGACATTCCATTACAAAATCTACTTATTTTGATCTCCTGTATCTGTCTCTAAATTTTTGTAATACTCAAGGTGCATAGACATTTGGATGTATTCGGCTTTATTTTAGAGATTACCTCTTGTTTTCGTGTATAAAAGTATGAAAATACTGTTTTAAATGTGATACAGTTTTAGCTTTTGATTTTCCTGCACAAGATATTTTTATTTCATTAGACAAAAATGGTTTATATATTGGTTGTAGTTACATCTGATTACATAATACATGATCACTATTGAAGAATTAGTGAAATATTCACTATATGGAAACTGACAACAACCTCTGAAAATTTTATTTTTGTTTAATGCTTTGCGTGCGTATGGGTTCGTAATAGATTGAATGCACAAGCCATTAAAAGAAATATTTTAGAACTCTCGAAACAGAAATACTCATACAGGTGTCACAGCATCAATTACTGCAATCAGCAGTTACGCTTCAAACTACTAAAAACGTTAAAACACAACCCAATGCAAAGACATCTAAAGAACTCTGATATCTCACAATATATAACTCGCAATAACAATAACTAAGCAACTGAGAGCAAATGTTCTCTCTTCGGCCTTAAATATTTTTCAACCCTTCAACCTAGATATTTCTAGTACTTTCTGCTTCTCAAAATTACTGAAAAGCAATAGGAGGGTGGAATTATGGTTGCAGCTAACATAGTGGTCAATTACAGTTATTGAGTTTCAATGCACATTAAGGTAATACAGAGACCAAAACAAAATGTCGCCAAATTCAGCGAGTTTTCTGCAAAATAAGTCGCCAGAACCGTTATTAGCTTGGCGGTATCTCGCCAAATTACCAAAATACCCATTTACTCAAAGTTAAATGCATTTTCCCCTGTATTCTTTCTTTTCCTGCATAGCTTTCTCTTAAACTATGTCTTATGCTACATTACACAAAAAATACAATAATTTTACTTATAATTCTACTAAAATTACCTATCTAAGTACAAAATTCATAACAATATAACACAGATAGATGCCTGTATTAAAAAATTAACAATATTTTTCAACATAGGTCAAGAAAATATTTTTAACGTATACTTCCATAACCAAACCATAATCCAAATGAAAGCGATATGAATGAAATCGATTAATTTTATATCCACAGCAATCTCAGAATAACATAAAAACTTGAGCAACCAAATCATATTTTATTCTGAAACATTGTTTTATATACTGGCATACCATATTTGGGTAGTCATTAATGTTTACTCGTTCAATATCAGTTCATAAATTTTACACTTTGTTTCATTTTTAAGTAGACTGAAGAATTCTCTTTTCAATTCGGGACCATTTAATTAATGTTCGATTCGAGGCCGTTTTCTTGTGTTTTCTATTAGGCTTTTCATAAAATTTCCAGGAGTATTGATGTTCATTCCTCTTCCGCTATTTCCCAAAGTTCATCAATTGTAGTGAGTTTGCACTTAGCAAGAGCTCTTCTCAAGAAACCAAAGGAACAATAGTCTACAGGTGACACTTCAGGTGACAGTGCAGGAATATAATGAAAAAAGGTATCTTTTTTCAAGGACTGCAGTGGTACTTTTCAAAATGTGATTTGTTGCTTTGTCTTGATGAAGTTTCATTCTTTGAAAGTCCTTACGATAAAGAAATGGAATTTGTAAATATTGGATATAAAACTTTCTCTTGGTAGTATATTGAGTTGATTTTAACATTTTTTAACACTCTTCTTATTTTTAATTTCCCATTGTGAATCCTGAAATCTTGGGACAATCATAAGCTTTTACCCTTGTTCGTGCGTTGTTATATAACAATTTCAAAATTAACTAGAAGTGGACTGTACTAAATATTTTATTCGACAACTTTAATCAAATGCGTGCCATCTTTCAAGCAATGACTTACTACTAACAACAACAGCAATAAAAAAAAAAAAAACTGAGTAAGCGTTTACAGGGTTGCTGTAATGAACATCTACGCCATGCAAGACGCCAAGAAGAGAAAAAATGACGTAATCTTGCAGTTAAATAGTCCTAATGACTTAACATACCCCCCCGGCATTGAAGGGTTACTTCAATAATTTCGTGCGATAGTACTCATAATAACCTACAAAATTGTACAGTTACTACCTTATACAATAAAGCAATACGAATAACATCTTTTAATTCAATATAATAATATTCAATTTTCAATACAAAATTTTTATACACAATACAAGTTACATTACAAGTTTTATAATAATAAGCTAACACTTAACTAACTTAGAAAGCTTCTTCTTGGGGTAAAATTGCAATTTTTGTAATTCCACGCTTAATGATGCCCTTTGCTGTCTGTATTTCTACTACTCTAACCTTACCGTCAACTCCAGGAAAAAGTCTTGTAATGCGCCCAACACCCATCTACAGACAGGAAGCTCATCCTTCTTAACTAGTACTAGCATACCTATTTTAATATTCGTTTGTTCTACCTTCCATTTTGAACGCTGTTGTACTGTGTTTAAATAGTCCCTATACCAACGATTCCATATCAACTGGACAAATCTGGTAGTTCGTTTCCATCTTGAGAGTCTGTTTCAGGTATATCAATTAATTAGCCGGAACTCCGTTCTCTCTATTGATAATAAGCTGCTCATTTACAAAACCCTTTTGCGTCCCATACTTTCTTATGCCTGCCCTGGATATACCAGCCATACCAATATTAATAAACTGCAAGTCTTGCAGAATGTTACTCTTCGACAACTATCCAGAAGCCGTTGGTTTATCAGAAATACGGCCATTCATGAGGAGTTGGAAATACCAACTATTTCAAATTATTTTGCACTCCTTGCAGAAAAATTTTTCCAAAATATTCGTAATGTTAACAATAGTTCAATAACTGTGCCTCACTATGATTACTCACTTGATATTAATAGCAAGCGGCCGCTTGCGATACTAAGATATCTAAATTAATTCAATTTTTTATATAACCTACTTATGTAAACACTCTCCCTTACTCGAGCTTTGTTTTGTTTTGATTTGATTTCTTTTGATTTGATTTGATTTGAACTGACTTACTGTCTGACTTAATTTCTGTATATAGTGTACGTATTTCCCACTTTATGTCTTATGTATTTTTCCTTATTATGTACTATTTAATTACCTATGGAATGTTATGTATTTATGTTTACTTATTTGAACTATGATGAGTGGTCACACGGACTCTTATTCAGACTAGCGATAGGCAATTTCTTTTTTACTACACCATTGCACACTTACCTCCGTCTAAGGCATATCAGCTACTGGTGTTTCTTCAGGACTCATATCATCGGTTCTTGTTACGAACTCATAGTGCTCGAATTTTTCTATCCAACTGCTCGACGATCAAAGATTCGAAAATCGCACACCTCCTATCCCGGGATAGCGTTGTAACGCGGGAACCTACTTTGCGAAAACTCATCGAGTTTGCCTGAGCCGAGGTGTGAAGAACACGCAGGGGAGATTTTCCGATGCGCATTCTTCAGGGGTGTAGGGAGGGGGGAAACCTGTTTACGGGTCGAAAAAGTAGTTCGGCCAGTGATCAGCTGGGAGGGAGAAGTTCCGTTTTAGACCGCTATTCTATGCGGTATTTAAAGGCCAAAAAGGACGCTGTTAAGCGCCTAAGAAAGGTCCTTTTTAAAGGAAGAAAGAAGCTATAATTTAAAAATCTTTTACAGTTTAATTCAATTGATAAGTAAAAATATTTTAAATCAGTCCTATTTGACTGTGATGTTTCTTATTAAAGAAACGTTAAAGGAGGTTCCTCGAGTTAATGCCGTGTGCATTAAAGAACTTTAGAGGCGGGGGGGGTTAAGGAACGAGAGGTAGTTATTCACGTGGCTATCAGTGTGCTCATATCTAGCCCGTTTAAATGGCAGAGCTGAATATTCCCTGTTAAGAACCGCTCTGGGTCTTTTCCGGGAAGAAGCAACAGCAGGATCGTATACGGGTAGCATATGAAGCACAGGATTTGCAACACGTTGAATATTTTTGAAAAATTTTTCCGAAAGTCGCTGTATATAGCGATTAATGGGCATAATTTTGAGGTCGTTATGAATCTCTTCGTAAACCACGGAGCTTTTAAAATTTGCCGAAGCATTTTAGATTGAAAAATTTGGACATGTTTTCTGTTAGTCAGTGCAGATGGGCCCCATACGGGACACGCATACGTAAGAACCGGCCTAATCATTGATTTGTAGAGCAAGATTTTGTTATCAGTTGACAGGTCGCTATTACTAGCTAAAAGGGGGCGTAGGGCGGTTTTGACAGCTGTCGCACCCGCTATGATTTTGCGGATGTGAGGCTGCCAAGTTAATTTTGAGTCTAGTAAAACACCTAGATATTTGTAAGAAGAGACCCAGGGAATGGGTTCACCGAAGAGCATTAAATTAGGTAAACTTGGGATATTTTCTTCGGATGAACATAGTGGCAGCACATTTTGCGACATTAATTTTGATTTTATACAGACCGAGCCAGAGTTCTAAGGTCGAAAGGTATCTCTGCAATTGGGAGATTACCTGGAGGGTGTTGGAGTGTTATGAAATGATGGCTGTATCGTCTGCGTATTACGCAAGATCGATATTTGGGGCCTTAGGAATATCATTTACATAAAGGTTAAAGATTGAAGGGCCAAGGAGGAATTCGTGGTTAACTCGTACGCGGTAACTGCGTCCGGTCAAGTACGAGTTAATAATTTTAATGAGATGAGCCGAAAAACCAAGCCGCATGAACTTGTAAATAATCCCGTCCTGTCAAAGGCTTTGGCAACGTCCAGATAGACAATTCCAGTTTTCTCTCGCTTACGAAAGCCTTCATGAATGAATTCCACTACACGGAGTAACTGGTGTACCGTGGAGTGTTTAGGTCGGAAGCCGAATTGTTCCGGGATTAGTAAATTTTGATCCCGACAGAATTCATTCAGGCGATTAAGTAAGACAAATTCATAGATCTTAGAGAGAGAAGATAACAGACTTATGGGTCTGTAATTGACGGGCAGGTTTAAATTTTGTCCCGGTTTTGGAATGGGGACGACTGCTGCAATTTTCCAACAGTCGGGGAAATAGCTTCTCCTGAGCATTAAATTTATGAGTACCGTGATCCATACGATAAACATAGGGGGGGGAAGTTTTTGATCATGCGATTCGAAATAGAATCTATGCCAGGTGCCTTGTCAGGTTTCAATTTATCAATGAAAACCATGACTTCAGTAGGGTCCGTTGGGCTGAGTTCAGTTGATATAGGTTGTGTTAAAAATCTTTAACCCGTGCTTGTATGCGCCCCTGTGTAACCGGGCGATTACAGTAGGAGTCGTGATTTGGTGTGAATTGAGTTGCAAGGCTGTCAGCTGTGACATCTGCCTTTTCTGAGTCAGTCTAGGCCATCTGTGCGCCATCGCCCTTTTGAAGGGGCGGAATGTAGTGTTTTATGTTTGCGTAATCGGGCGGCTGCGCGCCAAATCGATTTGTCTTCAGTCGTTAGGGACTCAATCTAAGTTTTCCACTCCGCTTGTTTTAATAAGCGGGTTTCGGTCCTTATCTCGTTCTGTATCTTGCGAAATTGGGCACGGATATTGGGATCTCGTGACCTTTGCCAAATTCTTCGCAAGTAATTCCGCTGCTTAATTTTGAATTTAGTCTCAGGTGGGAGCCTAGCACCTGGGTGTTTGCGTGGTTTTTGAAGCCGCAGCTCTCGCTTCTTTCAGTAAAGACTCCAAACTTTTGATATGCCTGTCAAAGTCCGAATTGCTGGAAATTTTGATGGGAGGGAGTGAAGTTTTTTCCAAAATAAATCTAAAGTCGTCCCAATTTGTTGAGACTTGCTCCTCTAATTTTGAGTATCGATTTTGAATATCTAGGGTTATCAAAACGGGGTAGTGATCAGAGTCCAATTCCTGAATCACTTTTATCTCATGCCGAAAAAATATATTATAAAAGGCAGCCAGATCAAGAACTGCAGGGGACCCTCTAACAGGGTAAAAGTCGGGAGGGTAGGAGCTATGATCTGTACATGGTTACTCTGGCACCATGAATTTAGACTAATACCATACCTGTTCCTATTAGAAAAAAAAACCATGCGGTATGGCGTGAATTTAGATCACCAGCAATAATTAGGTGATTTGAAATATTCGAAAGTGTATCATGTGGTGCTTTAACGAACGCTTCACATAGATACAAGTGCCACCACTGGGATATCTGCCCTGTGACACCCTGCCAGTACAATAAGTGTCATAATTCCCAATTTTGGGAGAATTCCCTGGGGTAAGGTGAGTCTCTTGGACTAAAAACACGTCAATACCGTGCTCTACTACAAAATCACGAACTTCGTGAATTTTGGGATGTTAATCCATTGGCATTCCACGTGCAAATGGTCAGTTCTCTGGTGGTGTTTGAACTGTTATTCATACAAATTGAATTTTAAGGCCGTTATTAAAGGGTTCATCACTGAAAAACAGAAGACATGGGTCTAAAAAGCCGAATTAGGTTGAAAGCTCAACATAGCTTTCATAAATATAAAATGCCCTCATTAAAGCATCTGCTTGCCTGAGTTTAGGCATTGCTTTTTTTTGAAGGCAAGGAGCAGAATATGCTTGTCTACCGCTGGGTCGCGGGAGATTTCAATTAAGCATTTTAGTGTAGATGAGAAGACATCGTCGGAAATCATTGCTACACTCTGCTGTGGCTGACACTGCTGGGGCTGCAGGGGCTTTCTGCAACCGGCAGTCTTGGATTCGTGGATTTGAATCCGTGCTCGGTGGTGTTCTTCACCATCTGTGCATAAGATGGTGAACTGACGTTGCTTGGGGGAGCAGGCATGGGACGTCTTGTCTCAGCAGTTGCTGGGGGCTTAGAAGAACCCTGCGGGGGGCTGTCTGAGCAGCTGCCCTAGTCCTTAGGCGCGGAATTTTTACCACGAGCCCGTTTGTTACCTGGGTAGCGGGGACAAGATTTATAAGAAGCAGGGTGATCTCCACCGCAGTTGCAGCAAGTGGCAGGTACATCTAAGCCTTTGGTACACCCACGTGCCCAATGGGGTCCAGAGCATCTGACACAACGGATTGGAAGGGTGCAGAGTTCTGAAGAATGGAAAAAGCCCTGGCACCGAAAGCACTGAGTAGGGTCCTTGCAGCCGCGGTAACGCTCAATGCTGATCTCTGTGCCCCACATGTCAGTGACGGCAAACAGATGATCGAGGAAGGGGTGTGGGATGACTTGTAAATAAACAAGTGGCATTGGGTGTCTGGAGCCAGGCTGAGTAAGCCGAACAATGCGATGCACTTTAAATCCCATCGCCTCAACTTCCTCTTTGATGTCCCCGACGTCTGTTTCAACAGGGAGGCCTCTGATAACAATTTTGACTGGCCAGTCCTGCTTGAGATCGAAAGTTTTGAAAGCCGGCTTGCTTCATCCAGCGGGTGACCTCCCTGAACTCCAGGTCTGTACAAAAATTTTGAGATATGGTCCAGTCAGAATGCTCCGTAAATTTGGGGCAATTTCTCTCATGAAAGACACTTGTGTCTTCCAGTTCTTGCTGCTTTTGAGATGTATTGCCGGAATCTCAGACTGCGGTGGGGGGGGGATACGTTCCGTGCCTGCTCGGAATTTAACTCCCTCAGTGGTACTCTCAGTTAGTTCATTTCAGCGTCATTGGTTTACATCATCATTAATTAATTGAATTTTTGATTCGTTTTTTCATACTTTATTTAGCAGTCCTCTCCTTTTTAGGAGTAGCATTTTTTGTGCTATTGACTAATTTTGAATAGCAGAAATGGGTTCTTTAACGTTTTGAGCCGAATCATCTATTGTTAGATCCACAATAGGCGCCTTCCCTTGCTTTCGAGCCGCAGGGGTGATAAACCCGTCAGAGTCGATTGTCTGCGAAAGCGCTTCCGCGATGACGTCGACTGGACCGGTTTCCCCCGCACCTCGTGCGTGGGAATAGATGCCTCTTGCTTACGAGGATCTTCTGTGGATTGAGCGGCAGCCATCTTGGGAAGGTGGAAAATAGGTACATCAAGAACATTTGCAATATCATTTATCTTATGAAAGAGTGACTTACCCGCCCGGTCGAGCTGGTCGTATCCATTTAAGTCCAGTGGTGAAGGCCGTTCTTCTTCATGAAGTTTTTCTGACGTTGTATAGCCACGAATTGCTGCTTCAAGTTGTAGAACTTGATTACCAGATTCATGCGTTCGTCATCTGGCGACGCTGATTGCACAGAGGGAGCCTGATCCCTAATCTCACACATAGCTTCATCCATGATAAAATTTCCGGAATTGCCCTGCGTTGGCGGGAGCTCGTTACACGAGCGACCGTCACCCTCGCCGTCCATCCTCGGAATCCCAATCACGGCTCTCGGTCTCTTCTGCGAGCTGTGAATAGTAGGGTCGTAGGCTGGCATCTGCTGGAGTGCTCGGTTATCAATCTGTTCAATTTTGAGGAATAAATTTTGACTAAGTTTTTTGATATAGTA